AGATTCTGATTGCGTACGCAGTCATTTGGCTATTACACAATATCGGAGAAAATGTACAGGAAAGATGACTCAACATACTAGAGGAACACTCATGCCTCGGATTTCATTTGCAAGTACCACTGCGAAGTTATGGTGGCTTTTTCGTCACACCAAGTCAACCCTCATCCGTGAATACTCACCTAGGGGAAAGTCTCAAAAATCCTGAGTTATCCAGACATGCCTTCATCCACTGATTTTCTCCGCGCGAAATGTGATCTGAGACGTCTCCTTCCCAAGTGGAGTAGGTGCCCAGGCTACTCAAACTATACCAGAGAACACCACCAAGAGTCAGACCACAGCACCATCCATCATTATCTTGTGTTTATAAGGTCATCTGCACTGTAATTTACATAATCGTTGCTCTGGGTACATATTGGATGAATCATTTGGCATTGATTTTTGTTTATTTTCCTCTTGAGTCTATGATTATATAACGACATGCAGGTCCTCTCTGCCTACAGGCCAAGGATACCTATACCAGTAGTATATCCCCTCCTATGCCTCCCATACAGCTCCCCTCGAACGGTACCACCCCTCCCAAGTCCTCATTCAATCATTCACTGAGAGAAGCGCTTTGCCCTTCAACATCTCCCCTCTCTGGCCAACGAAACCATGACTACTTGCGGGTGTATGGCAGCTGGGAAAAATTGCAAAGGCCACTAGGTGCGGAGTTCTTCTTACGCCGATATTAGTCCCAAATCCGAAGACAAAGTGATCCTTCTGAAGCGTTCGGAGAGGCCGGCTAGCTGGGCGCTGCAGACTTGTGTGTACCTCGGAGAATTCACACTCTGCCTTTCTAGCCTCCTCCCAACTCCTTCCCGAACGTCGTGCTGAAATGTCTGAAAAGTCTCGACAGAGTGTGATTGCTGTTTAGTAGCCTAACCCAACTTCCTCTGTGCCATCTGGAGTACTGCGGGGTGCGGTAGACTAAGTGACAACATAACTCCTGGCTGGTAACCCAAAATCGCAACTTTGGCGCCCACACACGTACCAATTTCGAAAACCACTCAATACCATCAGTCCCATAACCCCCATTAGTGACCACTTCTCTCTCTCTCATTCCACGATCCAGTCGCCTATCCTTCCTCAAGATACATAGTCCCCATAGTTCAAGACCCGAGCTTTGTATGTTATGACTCAATTTCCTCCTCGCTGGTTTGCATGGCATCATAATTTTGTGGTGGGAGATTGCCGATTTTTGATGAGGCAAATGCCCAATTACAATTGGAATGACGCCTTTATGGGTATCAAGATCGAGGTAGGGGACTCGCGTGAGATTGAAAGTTCCGACAATGACTAGAAGCCATCTATCTTAGATATGAGTGCTTTCGACTCCGGCTCGGATGCGATTCTTCTTGGCTATCCCTGATATACATAGTATACTAAGCGATAACATCGGCACCGCTGGAAGCTCAAGAATTCGTCTTTGCCGGCTAGGCAGATTCACTGGTTCTCTTTCTGACGGTATAATTATCATACGCCCTCTCTAGTAAATTTACTCATATGTTAGTCGTCGCTAGTCTCGAATGTTTTTAACTTTTGTAGATTAGAATAATAGAAAAGATCCACTAATACATTCGCAGAAACTTGACATACAGTTTACGTTCTTGGCACCGTGATTTAGTATCCAGACGCTTTCCATCAATAGTGCTCTCCCATCCTCTACATAAGATGAAGTTAATACAGCTTAACCTTGGGACTGAGCTTCATAAGGGAACACTCCTTTGGGTAAGTCGTGTCCAATTGTTGTAGGGCTGTAAGCTTACAGAGGATTTATTGGCTGGAAGTTTAGAGATGATAAGATAAGAATTTTTATTATAGTCCCTTCTGAGTGTAAGACTATGAAGGACTTCTAGAATCTACCATTAAAATTCTGGCTACTATTTCAATGTTAAAATGAAGTTATTTATTGTTTTCCATTTAGAGATGATTTATGGTAGATTTATATGAAATGCTGATATTTTGGTATGCATAACTTTGAGGATCTGGAATGTGAAAAACACCTCTTATAGACTAATCGGAGATAGCTAGACCAACGCCATATCTTCCCAGAACAGTATCACGGAAAAGTTTTGTATCACCCATCTGATATTTTAATTTAGAAAAAGTTTCCACATAGTTCTCCATTATTCATCTACTAATCATAGAATCAACTGGAAAGTTCTTCCTCCAATTCCTATGATCATTACACTCGTGCGTCGTAATCAGAACTATCACCAGCACAACAGTAAACCTTTCGGCAGAAGTGTATGATGCAGAAATTGCCGGGGCCACTGAAGGTCTTGCCGCAGCTCTTCGCAACCCACTGGCCTATTATGCCTCTAACGTCACTGTCTGCTTTGACAACCAGGAGGCTGCCGTCCGTCTGATCTTGGATACGCCCACAGCGTCCAGCTCGGCGAATATGTGAATCTTTCGCAAGCTCGCAATGAACTGGAAAAGAAGATCACGCGGTCAAAATTCGACGCCTGGGAAAGTGGCTATCCGATGGTGCCCAGGCCACGCAGGTATTCTCGGGAACGAAGCAGCCGACGCGCTTGCCAAAGCTGCCTGCGCAGCTCCAGCTCCACACTTAGAACTCTCCATTGCGAGGGCAAGGAGAGAAGTCAAAGCCCAATACGAGGCTTCAGTCGCACTATATTGGGCAGAAAATGCCCCTTCTAGGTACAAAGAACTAGGAATTGGCCCTAATGCGAAAATCACCGTTAAGCTCGCCCGTCTAGGGCGACGTGTATTGGGATATCTACTAGCTTCACGGTCCGGTCATGGCGACTTCGCGGACTACCACCGACGGTTTCAGCATGAAAACGCCATTCTAACCTGCACGTGCAGAGAAGAGAAGTCCCCTGACCACTCTTTCTATTGCCACCTCGGGCAATACCAAGCTCAGCTCCACAGGGCACAGAACTCTAATCCCAGCGTATCCTGGGCACTTGCTTCGGCGGAGGGAGTTGATGCATTCAATAATTGGGTGCGTGTCATAGATTTCTTCGAAAGGGCACAACGAACAGTCTGATTCGAACGAAATCACGATCTGATGTAAACAATCTTCTCCTTTTGTTTTTTATTTTGTTTTGTAAAATCTTTTCTTGATTTGGTACCAACGGCATAGCATGAGATTCGTTGGACGGACGACCTTCATGTACACTATAATCTACGAGCGTAGGATGATAAAATCCTAGCTATTGTTTGCTTTGGTGGGTCTGAGGGCGCCAACACGTCGGGTAGTTTAATATAGACTGGGCTAACCGGTACGTGAGGAACTCACGTGCTGTGCGCGGGCAGGACGTTAAATATTATAAATAAATAAATAAAACAGAAAACTTTGTTTAAGAATATTTAACTAAGTTTCGTATCGGCTGCGTAAGCAACCGTTCCTGTTTCCCGTCTTTCCCATAACGTTTATCTACAGCACAAGACCTAAGACTTATTCTAGATAATATTAAAATATACGTACTCTGATCACTTGTATAACTTGATAAGAGGCACTGCACAGCAAATGTAAGGCGTAGATGAATCAGTATTGGAATGATATCCCACAGTAGTGATATGAGTTGGATCTTATAGAAGTCCCCATCCACCAAACTGTGTTCCAATTATCTACTCTATTCTAAACGTGTCTCATTCCCTCGTATAACTGAGAAGCACTCTGTCAATGACTTGTGCCATCAAAGAATGACTACTCCTTCACTTGATAGATCGTCTCTACGACTCGTCGCTTGCATTACTCGGTGAGTACTAACTGACGCGTCTATTGTCCAGACAGTGCACGGCTCGTAACTAAGCGAGTCGTGTAATCCGATACTGGAGGTTCCACGTTCTATCTACTAGGACATAATCTGTTTCTCTAACAGATAACAATAATTGAAGTCTAATCCAATATCAATTTGCTTCCCCGAACACTATCTCGGTAACTTCACATAGTCTGTTGGCGAAGGTTTTTGTCAGATAAGTCGAAAAGGGTAAATGAGGAGGAATTTCTTTCTCGTCAAAATTATTAGATAACTCGTAGGTGTATATTTTGGCGGGTGAAGAGGAGTGAGGTAAATGTGAGAGCATCGAAGAGGGGACCAAGTTGTTGGAATGAGCGAGTAATTTCGCTTAGACTGATAGTATAAAGGTAATCCTTATCGGAAAAGTTAGAGTAATTTGTGGAAGCTAACTGTGCGTCTGGAGCCGCGATAGCTTCTGAGTGTTGGAAGGCACCTGTAGCCTAAGAGTCTTATCGGCCTCTTGATCCTCGAACAATTTTTGGCCGAAACTAAGGCGCGCACCCTGTAGCTGGAGTCTGTCTTCATGCCTCTTTAATCATAATTCGATTTTGGGGGACTTTCTCATGGTCACTAAGCCTAATTTCAATTTATTTATTTGCAAGTTTTTTATAAACAGGATTAATTCCTCTACCTGGCATTGCAGTTCATGCGATACGACTATGTAAGACGATGAGACAATTTTCTTAGTTGTCAGTTTGATAAATTATTTATGCCTGATAATTTGGACCCCGTTCCATAATCTTCTCTCTCTAGTCAGTAAGACCCTAATTCATATAGAGAATCTAATTACCACTATTGATCTTAACTTGCCCAAGCTTTTTCTGATCTGATTCTATGCGCCCTTATGATCCGTGATGTAGCCTCGTTAAATAATTCATGACCGTAAATATTTTGTTGTATCTTCATTCAGATGGGCTATCACTTATTTTCCCGAATTTTACCAAGATAGGGCGAGTTCCATATAATTTCCATTCTCTTGAACGCCTCATGCCATATTCTTCCACAGATCATATTAGTTAATGCCGTCCACATATACAGGTCTAATTAATGTATATTCAAGATCCTCGAAGCTGTGTTACAATGTGTAAAAGCGTAGCCGGAGCTGCGATTTAAACACAATTTCGCACATCCTTGAGGCTAGAGAAAAGTAATGAAGAGAAGCTTCGCAATTTTATGAGCCGAAAGATATCACATAATGATTGCCGGGACATCCACGTTGGCTTTGATAAATTTGTGAGGTAGAATGCTTCCTCCATTAACATAGATCTCATCTCCAATATTGACATCATCTCCAAGAACGGTAACATTCTCTAATCGAGCCCATTTACCCACGATTGAATTCCATCCTACTATAGAGCTCTTAACCCAAGCATGATCCTTGACCTTGGATCCAGAAAGAAGAACGCATCTTTGCAAGCGTACGCCATCACCAATGAGCACGTTTGGTCCAATGGTAACGTTGGGTCCAATTCGACAGTTTTTTCCGATTTTTGCTGTAGGGTCAATAAGTACGTTACCGCCGTAGACGAATGGAGTCGATGTCGGTGTTAGCATGGCAGAGTTCTTCTTAGCAAGAGATGAGAGATAGAGACAAGTTCCAGAGAGGAAATCCTTTGGTTGTCCGACATCCATCCAGAACCCTTCTAGATCGAATGAATGTAGCTCGCCATCTTTACAAATGGCAGGGAAAGTTTCTTGTTCGATGGAAGTAGGGCGCAGCTCAATTCGACGGAGGACCGATGGATTCAAGATATAAATTCCAGCATTAATACGATTTCCGACAAATGCAACTGGCTTCTCGACGAATCGGTCAATACGCGATGGATGATTAGGTTTGTGGACTACAACGCCGTACTTTGATGGCTCTTCGACTTTGGTAACCACAATCGTGCCTTCCTGTCCATGTTGTTTATGGAACTCAACGAGGTTATTGAATGGGTATTCGCATATAACATCAGAGTTTAAAACAAAAAATGGTGTATCATCTTTGCCGAGAATTTTCTCGGCAAGTTTGAGAGGCCCAGCTGTACCGAGTGGTTCATGCTCGATCGAGAAAGTTATTTTGACGTTGAACTTGGTTGCATACTAGCATAGGAGAAGGGTCAGCGAATAGAACTAGGCGCTTGTGATGGACCAACACTAACTTCTGACAATACTCTTTCCATAACCTCAGGTCTGTAGTTCACAGCCAAAACAATGTCACTGACTCCAGCGTTCGCCAATGCCTCTATCTGGTGCAGGATCATGGGTTTATTTCCAAATTCAACAAGCGGTTTTGGAAGGGTGAGAGTCTATCATCAAGTTAATTAACATTGGCCCTTCTCATGGTGACAAACTACTATAATCTGTTTGTGTGGAGGCTTTGAAGGGCTGACTTACTAGAGGTCTAAGACGTGTTCCGAACCCACCGACGAGAATAAGGGCTATTTGACGTGTTAGAAAATCATAGATAAACTTTTCGTGACAGTCAACCTTTCATTGTTAAATAAAGTATGCCAAAAGCTGCGACTTGATTTCTTAATTTTCCAGTACACTGTGATACTTTAATCAAGAAATTTGGGGGGGAATGAATGGGTTTGCGTGGGACACCACGGTTAGATCTCAGTGTAGTCAGAAAAACAAATAAAAAATGGGGAAGTGATGCGTAGGTAAGATGGCCTACGGGTTTGAGCGAGAAGACAATATGAGCGAGTTGTTCTAGGGCTACTAGTTTGTCCACGAGTAGGAAGTTATTGTCCGGTTCCCATGTAGTCCACGTGGATTTGGGAACTAGCTAGATGAGCCCCAGCGATTCTTTGCTGTAAATCAAATGCATTTATGCCAAGGGTGCAAAAGGCGCTAAAACGAAAATCTGGAAAAGTTGGCAGCTTATGGGTAGTGAAAGATCCTCCGGCCATTGGGAGAAGGCGATTCAGAACGTACAAATTTATTGTTCTATCTCGCCCAAGCTTCCAACAGTTTCTGCACAATTCTGCTCGAAACCATGGATGGATTGTGGCGAAAATCCGTCTCAATTCAGTCTTTTTATCTTTAACATAATGATCTTTCAGGTAACAAAAGAGGCATGGAGCATTGTACAAGATGTGGCCTAGGCCAGAGAGTAGTTCAATGTGCTAGATAGTCTTAGGCTCAAGTAGTACAATAAAGACACTTCTCTCTCTCTCTCTATCTTCAACATTTTGCGACAACTTATGGTTCTCGGGAGCTTTCACTACAGATATAAATATCTACTTATTTTCTAGCTTCTAACCGGCTTTAATGCTTCGTCTGCACCTAGTTAATTCAGAGGATGTGTCCTGGGTGGACCGATTTCCAAGTTGCTGCAAGCGATCCTGCTTTTAAACAAAATATATTTATTTTTTCTGAATTATCCTCGCACAATAACTAAGCGTTCAGCGGAGCTCACGACTGCTTCATCGAGGAGAGATGGTCGCTTGTCGCCCAACCGGCCCAATCCTAGTCATGGTAGTTGTCTATATGTACTGTCACAGAGCCAATTTCTACTTCAAACGGGTGTAACCCGAGTTCACGAAGATGGGCCGTTGCTCTTTCCTATGTCGAATGATTACGGCCAGGTCGCAATGTAGCTAAACGCTTGGGTACGTCATACCCGATTTATCCAGTGACACTAAAGTTAGTCAACAAATACTTTATCCGCGAATAAGATTAACCGTCGATCCTATTGCCTAGCCCCAAGAAATTAATATCTGTGTGCTCTATTTTGAGCCACATCGAGACCCCGAACAACCTCACTCTCAAACTACCCGTGAGCAAAGGGAAATGAAGAGTATCCATTTTGAATTGAATTAGATTGAAATTTCGTGTCCTTCAGAGTATCTGACTACATTCAAACCTGAAGGTCTTTTTACTCTACATACCAGGAATATGTATGACAGGGGTAAATTACCCCTTCTCCGGCTGCTTCAGGGCCTTTGTACAGCAGTAAAGTAATTTAGTACCGAAATCTTACATTGAGTGTCAAAGTACACTTACGCACCTGAAGAGAATTGGGCAACCGAAATTTGATCATCATCAACATGGTCAGAACGTTGGCTTACAATGGCGGGAATTTTGTCACGCATTGGGACATGAGCCTAACAACTCCCCTCTTACAAATCTCACGGGCCGAGTATTACACAATGCGCACACACTGGGGAAAGTATTTCGGTTGAAAAACGAGCTTTAGTAATAATTTGATCTAAGTCATGATTTTGTGTGATATCCAGTTATATCTCGTGTTTGTGTCTTGTTGCCTCACTGATTGATAACAAGAATCTTGTGTAAACATTACATTAATCTTTTAAAATCAAAGTCTCCTCTATTCTAAATGTCTTTCGCAGATACCACCATGAGTCTAGCATTACTACCGGTAAGCGTTGACTATCATTCGTGATTACTAACAAAAGAAAAGTTTCAAAAACTTTGGTTACTGTTGGTATGACAAAGGTCATACACTGCCGGCAAAGACGAATTCTTCACCTTCCAGTGGTGCCGGTGTAATCGCTCAGTATGCTTTGCATATCTGGGATAGCCAAGAAGAATCGCAACCGAATCGAAGTCGGAAGCAAACACATGCATATCTTAATTTGACGACTTTCAATCATGCAGCACTCACCATAATCTTCTGAGTCCTCAACCTCTTTCTAACCACACATCATCTCGACTCGACGACCGATAAAGGCGTCACCCCAATTGCAAACAGGAGCTTGCCTCATTCATTACCGGCCATCACTCTCTACAAATTTACGATACTACGTATACCCGCAAGGAGGAAATTAAGTCATAATATACAAAGTTGGGGTTTTGGTTTGTGGGGGGCTGCTGCTCTAATGGGGTTATACATCTTGAGGAAGAACAAGCGGCTGAGATGTGGAGCGAGAGGGGAAAGCCGGTTCGAATCCAGTCAGACCCACACACCACTTTCTCTCGCGGTGATGTTGTGCTTGTGGTATGATGAAAGCACACTCGGATAGCCACAGGGTTTTCACGCTTTTCCCTGTGGTGGGTATGCACGGAAGAGGTTATACGCCGTAAGGGCTAACCTCGAGTGGCATCTGCAAATGAAATCTGAGTGTGAGTGTTCTAATCGTCAAATTGAGTCATCCTACTTAAAGTACATATCTTCCGATAAAAACCTGCATGGGCCTCAAGGCACCAAATCAGGTAAAAATGAATTATATATATATGCCATTTGTCCTATATCAATAACCCATCTCTCATACTGCACACAGTACTACTTGTAATGCTTTTATGTAGATACCGAGTATCTTTCATGCGCCATAATGCCATACTGCCGTAATAACCACCCATGAACCGGCTACTAGATCTACCATACTACATAGCTGAGCATGACATCCTCTCCGAACGTGGGAGTGAAACACTCTCCCAGTGCTAGGTTTCGTCAAATTTCGCAAAGCCAAAGTTGGCCCACGAGGCTATGATTCCATACTCCAAATCTTGTCAATTTGACTCTCCCAACAAGGTCAATTGAGGCCAGAGCCTCATAAAATCTGCAAGTACGACCTCGTACATCCTTACCTCAATAACTATACCTCTCATCAAATCTATCTCTGGCCTCAAATGGCCTCCATATGTACGCCCGCAAGAATATGGGTACCCGATGGGTGACATAAATCTGGGAGGCAGGTATTTTTGGAGTGGATGTGAGAGATATATGGACAAGCTGACAAGATGATGCGAAGGATGGATTCAGTCTCGACGGGCGTGGAATTTCGAATTTTGACAAGGAGCTTCACAAATTGAGCTTTGTGCGTGCCAAGACTTCGGTTGCGGGAGTGCAGGCGACACTGCAAGCACTGCCATGGTTGGATGGTGCAGTGGTACATCGTCTTGGCCGGTCTGCCAAGTAGAGTCTGGATAGCTTGGAAATATATCGCACTCGAGACAGTAGATTGCTGGTTCAAATCCGCCAAAACACAACCACATTTCTCGCGGCGCTGGTATTCATGGATGACGAAGGCATGCTTGGATAACCAAAGGGTTTGAAATTCACTTTGATGGGTACTTACGGAGGAGGGTCGACTGTTTGTGTAGGCGAACATACCTCATAGTGGTATTTGCGAATGAAATCCAGAGTATGAGTGTCTCTCACGTCAAAAGAGTCATACAATATGAATACATAGCACCGATTATGTTATTAAAATTTTAAAGATCTGAGCTAGAGTAAAAGCTCTACGTCCTTCTATGGGTACAGGACCAGTGGAGCAGGCAGGGAACCCTGTGTTATTTTCCACAGCCCACTCATTCCAGCCCTGTAAATCGTTATCAAAATTGCAGCAGATTATTACAAAACGAGAAATCAAAAACGTCTCGGAAAGAAAACCGGAAGATTCCTATACCTTGAGCCGAAGTAATGCACTCCTCACACATTCCTTCGACCGTCACACCTTCCAAATGACAAATTTACTCAGTCTTCACTGAGAGCAAGGGATGGGTTAGCAGGCACCTTTGGTGCAGCAGGTATCCTAGTATTGGTTAGTAGAACAACGGTTAGAGCCGTTATTGAGGTCGCTGGCCCTCAAACTTTTTCTTCGAACTCTAGAACTCCGAAGCCCGATCCCTACGCCATGGAGACGTCTTTATTTGAGGCGATAATCGCCTCCTCTTCCCCTCTGGCTGCTTACGGAAACTTCCAGTGCTCGGACAGGCGTAAAGCTTCCAGCATGTCTCTCCCCACTAGACCGAGCTTGTTGGGCCTTGCACTCTGTCCCAGAGTGCATCGTTGATCCGCATTTCTAGTAGTCTAGAGAGTGGAAGCCGAGGCAGCGATAACACTGCTACATTTTGCGTCGAGGCTGGTGCTTTACAGCCATTCCAGACTCGTCGATGATGCGGGAGCCCGCACGAAGGGCGAAATCCCGGGTAAAAAGGGCATGCCAGTTTGATGTGATGTGATTATTGCATTTACTCTAAATTTATATCTGCTAGGTGCTAGGGATATAGCACATCTATGCGAGTGCCGCACAGCCCTACATGGCCATCATTACGGTCGACTATTTTGGTGCAGCTCTACACAACGGCATAGAGTGATGTGGAATAGTATGGCATGGAATTAAGATTGTAGTACTTCCTGCACTGACGGTGATGTACTATATAGTAGGTACCAAATATGTGTATATAAGTCCCATATACAATCGTGATATGTAGATAATTATAATTAAGCTATTCATTATATCATCAAGCTCTGATAATCGTAACCCACTCTCTCTACTATCCCTAGACTATTCGACATTTCATACCTACTCATACATCTATCAAAATACAGTTACTATACGGCGCACCAGGACGGCAGGTCCCTTGTTCCCACACCTGGATTGGCCTCATACGGGTTTTAGATTGGATCTCAGCTGAGACCCACGCAGTATTGACCGTAATAGTACTGTCAAGTATTTTGAGGGTCGCGGATACATTCGCGATCTGAAATGCGACAAGGTCGGATGCTTCTTCGAATTTGGCGTT